TACTGCTTCTATTCTATCTTGTATTCATTTTTCCATAACTCTTCTCTTGGTGCTATATGCTGCTTCTGAACTGGAGTAACTGAACTCCCTTGCCCTGGTATAAAGAAAATGCCACTTTTTCGGCAGTCCTCGAAGCAGTGGCTGCCAAAAGATGAACTTCGCTCCAGGACTTGACCTCATCTACCCTTGCTTACTGAAGCAGCTTTTGACTTGGAGTAGCTGAAGTTGGGACAGTCTTGGCATGGGATACGGGGAGCTGGGCTGTCGGATTGCTGCTGTGTGCTGATGTGCGCGTTTTTCACTGAGCCAAAGCGTGCTCTTGGTTACGCTTTAGTATTTTGGAATAATTCTGTTGATCGCAATGGATCCGACTATGCCGTTCAGCTGAGCACGGTCTGGGCCGAGGTGTCGTCCAGTTTCACAGGGTTTCTGAGGGATCTGGAAGCGACTGGTGAGCCTTGGTCTGGAGGGAGCGAGGCAACCATTAGTTTCATTCGGAAAATGAGGCTCAGTAATGCTCTCCTTCCCTCTTTGCGGAGACTTAAAATGCTCTGTGAATGGTGACACAGGTGCCTGAATAGAGTTTTCTCTAGCAGTTGTGGAAGGAGCAGTGTTGTGAGGGCACTGGGTGAAGACACGAGTCCTTGCTCAGTCACATCAGCTGTGATAACCATCTCCTTGTCACCTGCGATTCGTGTCCCGAGACCAATCAGGCTGTACGGTTTGCAAGGTGCCATCAGTATGCAACATATGGCACAATGTTCTGCTTTTCTGCACGCCCTCTCTCCTTGCAAAGAGGTGTTATATCAGTGTGTTATTTGGAGACGGATTATTTGGAGCTGAACGGGTTTTGGATGTGTTGTGTGCAGAGGGTCGCTGTCCCACAGCAACTGGAAATCTGCGTTCGCGGATGACGCGGGTCCGCACTCTTCATCGTGAAGAGCGCTGCGGGGAGTCAGACACATGGCATGCTGTGTCTGCTGATGTTCGTGCTCCTTTCGGCCACGCAGAGCATCAGAAATATGGTCTCCTCCGTCCCACGATGTTTTCCACGCTTTTCGGTGTGATAGCTGAACAGGGCACGGTCGTGGCTCGATGGGCACACTGTGCGCGGAGGTCGCCGCGGCAGCATGCGTCTTCGTGGGCAGAGCCGGATCCTCCTTCCGAGACACGGGAATATTTGCCCAAGACTTGCCGCTCTAAGGCTGTGCTCCTTGCACGCGTATTGTAAGGAGTTCATTTGTTTGCAAGTACTGCCTTTCAGGCCCGCGAATGAATGTTTGATCATCTGACTAATCAAATGGAAAATAACGTGTCGTGCATTTGGCCTAAGACAAGAGGCTGAGAAGCAGCTTGTCTCCTTGCTGGCAGGAAGGATGCTGATAATGACTTGAGACTTTGAGGCTGCGAAATAGTGTTTCATGGTTTGAACAAGTCTCGAACAAGAACAGAAAGGAATCAAAATATGATTCTTACTCTTGTATTGCTATACTAGTAAATCTGTTGTAGACATTTCATTCGTTCCAACTGGTAGCAGATCTAATGCAAAAATGCTTACGAATAGCGGCGTTCAGTCCACAGCAGCCGTCTCGCTCTCTGTCTGCTTATCACATTGTCCCGTTAAAGCTTGACCTTAGAAACTTTTTTACCCCTCCAAGCACAGCCGGGCTGGGACGACGGCTGCCTGCCCAGGTACTCGCTGCGCAGGAGGACACCGGAGCGCCATGCTGGTGTGTGCTGGGCACGAGGCTCTGGGGACCAGCACAGCTGTTTTGCCATCAAAAGCATGTCTGTACGCTTACCAAGTTTTCAGTGCTGTTTCTATCTCCAGACAGTATAAAATAGGTACAGTGGCTGATCAAAAGACTTAATGTCCCTCAGTGAAACTTAGAAGTGCTGATTTGTTCTTTTTACACTATGATTTTTTGAAAGACCAGCCTTGAGTTGCTGCGATGTTGTCCCAGAGAGCAGATCTAGGAGAGCCCTCTTTTTGTCTCTGCCACCGCGAAGGTTACAGGGGCCTCTGCTCGCTCTGTACGTTGAAGCAGTGAACGTGGAAACCGCGGGGTTTGCTAACGCTTTCCTGCTTCCACGTGCGAGGGCTGATTGTGGATGTTGTGTTCGGTGGTGCGGATAACGGAGCTGGCAGCTTATGTTGGGTGCGGTGGCCGGAGCAGCTCTCGTTGCAGGGCTCTCGCTGCAGAGCGGGATGCCCAGGCCACCCCTAAATGTCGGAGGTGCGGTAGGAGGGACTATTAGGCAAAAAGCAGATGAGTGATTTACTTTGCCTCCAGAAATCGTGCATTCATCTGTAAAACTTATGTGGATGTGTTTCTAAAGGAAAGGATAGGCAGCTTGGCTGTAGCTCCTGGCTTGGTCTGTATCCACAGGAACACGGATGCATCCCCCAGCGCGGTGATGTGGTGGCCCTAATGTCCTCTGTACCTACGTCCAAAATGCGATGCATTAACTGTGCTTTACGGGGATGTTGTCTGGTAATTTAGTCTAAAATTTACTTAAATCCCTGTGGAGAATGGTTCTGGGTTGGATCCAGAGCTTCTAGAGGAGGTCAGTTCCCTACAAGCCCCAGCCTGAACTTAACCTTGACTGAGGGATGAAGATAGTTTCTTTATCTGATTGCATACAAGGAAATACGTCTCTTAAAATAATGGTCCCTGAAGATTATTTGTTTATTAGCATCTGTGTGTGTGCAAACCTCCCATCTATAAATGCACGTTTCCTTTCGGCAGTGCAGCGCTGATGGAGGGAACAACCCCAGTCTGCAGAGCAGGCGCCAGCTCGCGGTGCGTGTTTGCGGCGGGCGGGTGGGACGGGGCAGGACCGTGCCTCGGTCATGCCATGCGCCAGGCGCTCTGCGGAGCCGGCTGGGAAGCCAAAGATTGCGTGGCGGTGGAAAGCTTTACTTTTCGTTGCAATTTCTTGGTGGCGGTGACTTAAAAACAAAAGCAAGTGGTAGTCAAGAGTCCCGAAAGCATTTCCTGTTGTTGATTGGACACAAGAGCAGATGATACTAACTCCTGGCTGAAAGCGTGGCAGAGGGAGTACTGTTTTTATGTTGTGGTGACATGAGTGTCCGTTCCTGCCTTGCTGGCCGGCATGAGCCGGGGTGCACAGGGCTGCTGCTGGCAGCCGCATTAATCATTATCTTGGGGAAAGATAATTATTGGTGAAGAAATCATACCCTGTTAATGAGGAACTGTGCTTAACTGCCTGCACGCTGCTGAACACTTGTTTGATCTTCACTTCCCGCGATGCCACGTCGCAGCCGATGGCCTTGGTGCCCCTCTGGATCCGGCCATGTGACGTCTCGGCGCAGGGAAAGCAGACTTATCTCTGTGTTGTGATCGGGGGAGCTGATAGGCGGAGATGTCAAGGAATGGTCCAGCATGACCCAGGAAGTTTGAGACGGACAGAGATAAAGACCTCCGGTATTTTTAGTGCACATCCTGTGCTTTGGCCGTCTCGCTCTGTTCTCTGCGCTGGTACCGCAGAGCTGGTTTGGTTTAGCAAATGCTTTGCTGTATTAGTGCTGGAAGAGTTGAATATTTATAAATAGTTACTAAAATTAGCCCTTTAGGAGAAGGCTGTTTAGAGAGCAATGTAAGGAGGAAGGTCTTGGGAGTCCCGGGAAGTCCCGGTGCTGCAGCGTGCTGTGGATGCGCTGGTCTCCGTGAGCCTGTCGGCTCAGCGCAGGGCACCGTTAGCAGAAGCTGGTCTTTCTGCGAGCAGCGTTGGCCCCTCTCTGGCGGATCCTGGACACCTTGGACATGTCTTGCTTGGACGTTTGCGTGGGCAGCTGCTTCTGTGCTCCCCCTCTCGGGTCAGGGGCTCAACTGTCGTAGCTCCAGAAACCATGACCCTCTAAAATTGCCAGGATATAACCCTGTCCTGAATGGGACCGCTGGGTTCTGGTCCTCACACCAACCCAGAGTACCCGTGATACAGACCCGCGATTTGGGCTCTGCTAATTATGTGCAGTTTTGATGCTCTGAAATGCCTTGATGGTCTGAGAAGCATGTAAATGCTTTGCCTTTATACCTGGTGGTTTCTCTTTGGTCACTGGGTTGCCCATAGGCTTATGTGGAGGCTACTAGTAAATTGTACATTATAAGCCAACCAATATGCCGTAAGAACCCAGAGACTGTAGCGTATGCCCTCTGGACAGTAAATCTTCGGAAAACGTATTGATTCCCTCGCTGGGTTTTGCACTCTGGATGAACTTTGTCCTCGCAGAACAACAGTAGGTAATTTTTCTTTACTAGCCAGCTGGCCTTTGAATGAGCTGCTCATAACACCATCACAAACTCTAATCCAAGTAAACATGGAAAAGATGATTTGCAAACTGGAAAGAGAATCAATACCAGCTCATAATGAGGTTTAGTGCTCAGCAGCATATTCTCAAATATTGTCCTTAAATATAGCAATTTGGTTTTTGACTGCATATTACAAGATAAGTGTGTTATGCTCTTTGGATCATGCAAATGGTGTTTTTGTTTGTTTGCATTAACCGCAAGGCAAGAAAATAGTGAAACAGGATTAGAAGAGTGATTTGGGAAAAAAACACTGGTTTTGATAATCAGATTAGAATTGCAATCTGTCTGCTTTTAAACAGGAATGAGTTTGTCAGAGGGGATGCTAGGAGATGAGGAGCTGGGCAGCTGTCAGTGGTCAAGTCAGCGCAGCGCCGTATGAGCCTTGCTTTGCAGTTTGCTCTTTAATATGCGCTCCTAACTGTGCAGCCCTTACTTGGCTTTTACTGCCTAAAACTACCTGAGAAATAGGTAAGGATCAGGAGGCAACGTGGGGCCCTCAGGATGTCTGCGCGGAGAGCTTGCCCCTTCCTCCCAGGCAACTCTCGGCCTTGTTTTTTCCCCAAAGGGTCCTTGGTGGGCTGGGAATTGGGGAGTGGGTGAGGTGGGATGGGGGTGTCCCTGGGGTCTTCACACAGCTAATGATACAGATGTGGCTTTTTCTGTGGGAAATGAGCTCTGAAGTGGTCTGCAGGCCAGGGCTTGTGTGAGGTTAGCTCTGGGGCCGTAACGAGTCCTTGTTTCAAAGCCTCGGTGTCTTCCTTACAGGGGACGCGAGTTCCCTTTCCTAAAAGGAGAGTTCAGAGGGAACTTCGCAAGCTGAAGGGCAGACTGCTTTCAGACGTCTCTCCTCCGCCTCTTGCGCGCGGTCCTGGTTTAACTGCACACAACGAGTGCGGAGTTCGGCCCGTTATTTACTGCAGAGCGGTGAACGTACGATCGGCGCTTCCAGCAGCTGGTGGGGGCGCCTACCGCGTGAAACGCCTTTGAGGCCATCGGACGCAATGGAGCGTGAGCCAAGTCTCAGGGCCCCGGATACATACTGCTCTTAAGGAACCAACGGGACGGGGAGGGCAGCTTCCTTCAGTGTTTGAACGCCGTTTAAGCTCCAGGTCGCCGGCTTTCATCCTTTGGCTAGCGCAGCTGCGTTTCGGCACTGCCAGCGTGCAGCTCTCCGGCTTGCGAAAACGCTCTAAAACTCTCTGTTTCTTCCTTGTGTGCGCAGGGAGTTGACCGCGTTTGGAAACCCTCGCTGCCCGGCCGTCCTGCGAGGAGGGGGCAGATGGGCGCTGCTTCCGCCGCGCGTCTCCTGGCGGAAGATGCGCTGAAGCAGGAGCGTCGGCAGACCATGGCTGGCTGCGACCTTTGCCTGGGCTCTCGTGGAGGCCCGCGCGCGACCGCGTTACCATGGTGACGCTCTTAACCAAAACTCGGGAAAACAAAGGTGCTGACTCCGTAACATGCAGGACTGAGCTGGTAAGCTTTGTGAAATCTTGGTTCAAAACGCTTCTGCTGTCGATAGCTTTGCTGTAGCTTTAGAGTATGTATTTTGTTGTGTATGGCAGGGCCAGATCTGTAGTCTGTGTGTTTGGTGGGGTTTTTTTTTTTT